ACGCATCTCTCAAGGCAATGAAATGGACAGCCTACGACAAAAATATATATTTTTAACGTTACCCATAATTAAATATTTTGGTTGAGTGAGATTCCCCATTGGCAGACTGCACTTCATCTTGACGAGTGTGTGAGGCCAGTGACGCGTTGTACAGAAGACAGGACCTTTGAAACTCAAATACAAAAAACTTGAAGCTGTTCTGATACGATCTCAGACAAGAAGAACATGTGCCATTTCCCCCCTATTCGTGGCACTGCCTATATATATAATGTCTGCTGTACAAACAGGGATCATGGCCGGCACTAGCATAAGTGCTTACATCACACTATTTATCTCTGAGCCCTGTAACCGATCTGTTTTTTCTTGACGTACCTGTTATTTTGGTGAAGCAATAATAAATTGTCTACATGTATGATATATAAGATACATAAGGGATAAAGCATGTCAGCATCATATATGGAGATGATTGAGTTCTAAGTGTACACTAGTGAAATCTTATGTGGACATCACATGCATACGGGATTACTTTTGGTATCCGATGGTCATTCAGCTGGGGCGTCGGTAACACTCTGCATCTGTACTCTACTCCTGATAGACACTAGCAATGCATCTCAAAACTGTATTATCAACACGTTTTACTTGATTATGTGAAGGCAGTGTGTTTTTGCAGTTGCCTTTGATCTAGCACCTAACTGGTGAACAAATCCGTTTGATAAAGAGTGTGCAGGCTCTCACTGTTGTATTGTATCTGTGCCAGCATTGTGGCATTATAAAGGTTCAGAGCATCACTAAGAAACAAAGGATTTGGTCAAAATCATCATAGCATTCATCACTATGTCTACTTATGACCTTGTGAATAATTGAGACAGGACCAGACGATCCAGTGATTGATATTAAGATGCCATTGGGGTATGATGACGCACAATCATCCAAGTCACCCAATCACCAGACCACCCAATGTATTGAGTCGCCTCTTACGGCCGGCGCAGGTTACTGGGGAACTGTAACGAACATTGGGATGAATATTGAAGTGAAAGCACAACCAGATTACCCCAATCAACTTTAGAAAACAAAAATCATCATGTAGTATTCAGTGCTCTCTATCAACCCTTCTAGGTGTTCAGGCGGTGGGTTAGCCTAGTGGTAAAACTGGGGTGAAGACCAATCAACCAAATCACTGAGCCTTACCACCCACGGGTAGCTGGGGACCGATTCTAACCCGGAGTTTGCCTGTGTCGACATCAAGCTGGAACAATGAGTCACTTCACGAACTTAAATAACAGTTAATTACCGCCTTGCTAAAATCGGTCAAGAAAATATGTGGGATCTATGAAAACAGTAAAAGACAAAAAGTCAATTTTAAAAAACATTTTCATTAGACCGCAATCAGAATAGAAAGCAGGAACCTTTTGCCATCTGCTTTTCTTCATTGAGCAAAGCGGACGGGACTGAGATAAATCATATGAAATCTTTCATGTCATAATATGGATTTCTGAAGTCTTGAATGTTGAACAGATAAAAGCCATCGGATGCCACTATGAAAAAAGTCTGTGATCACATGACACAATCTCTTCCCATGATGCATGTGGCACTCATTCTGATTACATCGTAACATCCACATTGGAAATCAATAAGAGGGAAGCTACATCACCTAGCGTGTTCCCATGTCTAAATCACTGCTACCTTCACTCTTTATGGCTCAACTCTGCAATAACATGTCAATATACTCCTTTATCACACACTGGATTAAAATCTTTCTTCTTATTTACATTTTTCTTGAGTAATTACATATTAGCTGTAAAATGGAATAAATCTTCCATTTAAATTCCCCTGAATTCCACCTTTCATTTGACCACATCTCTTATATAACACTCTTTATTTGACCACATCTCTTATATTCCACCTTTCATTGGACCACATCGCCTATATAACACTCTTTATTTGACCACATCTCTTATATTCCACCTTTCATTGGACCGCATCGCCTATATAACACTCTTTATTTGACCACATTGCTTATATTCCACCTTTCACTGGACCACATCTCATATATAACACTCTTTATTTGACCACATTGCTTATATTCCACCTTTCACTAGACCACATCTCCTATATTTCACCTTTTATTGGACCTCATCTCCTATATTCCACCTTTCATTGGACCACATCTCCTATATTCCACCTTTCATTGGACCTCATCTCCTATATTCCACCTTTTATTGGACCTCATCTCCTATATTCCACCTTTCATTGGACCACATCTTCTATATTCCACCTTTTATTGGACCTCATCTCCTATATTCCACCTTTTATTGGACCTCATCTCCTATATTTCACCTTTCATTGGACCTCATCTCCTATACTCCTGCTTTCATTAGACCATATCTACACTCAACCTTTCATTGGACCACATCTCCAATATTCCACCTTTTGTTGGATCACATCTCCTATACTTCACCTTTCATTAGACCATATCTACACTCAACCTTTCATTGGACCACATCTATATTTCCCCTTTCATTAGACAACATATCCTATATTCCACCATTCATTGGACCTCATCTCCTATACTCCATCTTTCATTGGACCACATCTCCAACATTCCACCTTTCGTTGGACCACATCTCATATACAGTTACTCCACCTTTCATTGGACCACATCTATACTCCACCTTTCATGACACCACATCTACACTCCACCTTTCATTGGACCACATCTATACTCCACCTTTCATGACACCACATCTACACTCCACCTTTCATTGGACCACATCTATACTCAACCTTTCATGACACCACATCTACACTCCACCTTTCATTGGACCACATCTATACTCCACCTTTCATGACACCACATCTCCTATAAGCCACCTTTCATTGGATCACATCTATACTCCATCTTTTATTGGACCACATCCCCTATACTCTGCCTTTCATGACACCACATCTACACTCCACCTTTCATTGGATCACATCTATACTCCATCTTTCATTGGACCACATCTCCTATACTCCACCTTTCATTGGATCACATCTACACTCCACCTTTCATTGGACCACATCTCCTATACTCCACCTTTCATGACACCACATCTACACTCCACCTTTCATTGGACCTCATCTCCTATACTCCACCTTTCATGACACCACATCTACACTCCACCTTTCATTGGACCACATCTATACTCCACCTTTCATGACACCACATCTACACTCCACCTTTCATTGGACCACATCTCCTATACTCCACCTTTCATGACACCACATCTACACTCCACCTTTCATTGGACCTCATCTCCTATACTCCACCTTTCATGACACCACATCTACACTCCACCTTTCATTGGATCACATCTACACTCCACCTTTCATTGGACCTCATCTCCTATACTCCACCTTTCATGACACCACATCTACACTCCACCTTTCATTGGACCTCATCTCCTATACTCCACCTTTCATGACACCACATCTACACTCCACCTTTCATTGGATCACATCTACACTCCACCTTTCATTGGACATCATCTCCTATACTCCACCTTTCATGACACCACATCTACACTCCACCTTTCATTGGACCTCATCTCCTATACTCCACCTTTCATGACACCACATCTACACTCCACCTTTCATTGGACCTCATCTCCTATACTCCACCTTTCATGACACCACATCTACACTCCACCTTTCATTGGACCACATCTCCTATACTCCACCTTTCATGACACCACATCTACACTCCACCTTTCATTGGACCACATCTCCTATACTCCACCTTTCATGACACCACATCTACACTCCACCTTTCATTGGACCTCATCTCCTATACTCCACCTTTCATTGGACCACATCTCCTATACTCCACCTTTCATGACACCACATCTACACTCCACCTTTCATTGGACCACATCTCCTATACTCCACCTTTCATGACACCACATCTACACTCCACCTTTCATTGGACCTCATCTCCTATACTCCACCTTTCATTGGACCTCATCTTCTATACTCCACCTTTCATGACACCACATCTACACTCCACCTTTCATTGGACCTCATCTCCTATACTCCACCTTTCATGACACCACATCTACACTCCACCTTTCATTGGACCACATCTCCTATACTCCACCTTTCATGACACCACATCTACACTCCACCTTTCATTGGACCACATCTCCTATACTCCACCTTTCATGACACCACATCTACACTCCACCTTTCATTGGATCACATCTACACTCCACCTTTCATGACACCACATCTCCTATAAGCCACCTTTCATTGGATCACATCTATACTCCATCTTTTATTGGACCACATCCCCTATACTCTGCCTTTCACTGGACCAGATTTCCTTTATTCCACCTTTCATTAGACCATATCTATACTCCATCTTTTATTTGACCACATCCCCTATACTCTGCCTTTCACTGGACCAGATTTCCTTTATTCCACCTATCATTGGTTACTCCACCTTTCATTAGACCATATCTATACCACTACTTTAATGTGTACATTCCATCTCGTCAAAGTCTGGCTGTCCCAACATCACTCGACAGAGCCCAGTGTTGGCAATCAATGTGTCTGAATTGTCTAGATTTGGCTATTTCAGTGACTGTTTTTCACACATGTTGAAAAATGACAGGCAAACCTTTGACCCAACCCCTATTGGTTTTAAGAAATATTGCCTCGTTCAAATACTAGATATAAACAATTCCTCTTTGAACTGGCTGTATTGGGTTTGTTTTCCAACATTGCCTAGAGCAATACAAACACAACAGCTGGTGTTACACACCCCTACAGCATTTCATGGAGGGAATCAGCAGACTCAAACCACAGGGAGGCCGGCAATCGTAGGTAATCTACTGATAATTCTAACTTTGTAATGCTAACAAAAAAATCTTTACAGCATCAAGCGTTTACACCTATGTAAAAATTCTCAGTCCGATCATAGCGGCGAGGGTAATGGAGAGACTTTGATGTTAGAACTCTATTACAGGATTATTTCGAAAATGAGTTTTTCCGGGTCCCAATGTTGCTGATGGCAACTGCAGCTGCCGTAACACGAGGATGATGTGTGTAATCTCCGACTTCAACACGCAGGGGACATCGTCAACTCTATAGTTGTCAAGATGTGCTGTACGACCCTGGTATGGATTACCTGATTTGTACAGCAGGGATATAAGACATTGGCTCGACTCCCCATTGCCTAACCAGCAGTTGCTTAATATCAATGGAATTGATCATACAAGTTTTTAACATTAACTTTTTACCATCTTGAGGTGAATGAACAGACGCAATTTCGAACTATTCATCTGCACCAACCTATTCCCCCCACTACACATAATCGGCTGTTCCATGTAGTAAGGGTGAGTCTATGTTCGAGGAGAAGAAGGGGTGTTGTTGTGTGTCTCAGTCAGGCAGTAGTGTGCGGACCGGCAGTATGGTGGAATGCCATGCTGTTGCATAGGCCCTCACTGTATCTGCGTGCAGGTAAGATAATCCTTATTGGTCAGTTTAACACTAACAGCATACAGGCTAAAGATTATATAATGGGACTGGGGAGGCATTATATTGCTATACACCAAAACTGACCAGTTGACGTTTACACAATGTTTACTGTGAGATTGTGAGTTCATATTTCTGTGCATATTGGAACTGAGGTATTATTTTTCTCACAACTGCCTTTGTGATTTCATGTATGGCATCTCCAGCTGTGTGGTCATATCAGTACATTCTTACGAACTTTGATCCACATAGGTAAATGGAAGTTGTATTTTCAACAAATCTCTAACAGAACAAAATTTTCCTTATTAATTTTGAAACTATAACATTTGTGATTTCTTTCACCATTTGAGAAACTTTAGAACTTGCTTATCACCAGAATTATTTGACCACAGTGAATTGTTTGTACATCAACTGGTTGGCTACACTTAGTTTCAGGTTACTTGAGTAGGGCTCAGAGAATTTCACCTTTAATTTGCAATCACAGATTTCTTTTACAGGCAATGTGGGTGTGGCAAACTATTGACTAGGAAGTCGTCAGAATCTAGACATGGTGCTTTCACTTTCTGTTAGCGATTCCAACATTAATGATCAAACAATTTACCCGTCATCATTTTCCCGGACACAATGCTTAAGGATGTGGATTACGAACGGAAACTCTTTAAATAAATTGGATAATTTTTAACAAAATATTTTGAGTGAGTGAGTCAAAGAAAAATCTTTTTTCTTAAATATCACTTTGATATTTTTTAGTTATTTCCAAAAAATTAGATTTTAAGATTTAAAAGATTCAACAGTTCAAATGTTTTAACACGCTTTTATCATTTCTATCCTATTCAATAGCCGCATGGAGGAGAGTCGCCCTGTTATCCTAATATGGGTTATATAACAAATATATTGATAGATTCTAGCAGGTAGGCAGCCTGAAGGTCTCAGCTTGACAACAAGCAGATTCAATATATACCACCACCAAGCAGACAAAGACTGTCAGTTAATATAAAACTTTCAAATCCTTTAGTCAATAATTCAATGCACTTGGTGTGGTTTATGCATTGTGTGCTTATGAAATAATCTTTCAAGCCATTAGCATTTCATCGGTGTTAGTTCAAACTGCCTATATGTTGTGCTCCTGGATCAATTCCTAAGACGTGTCATTTTATTTTCCTTAAACCATAAGGTTTAATTACAAAAAAGATTGTGGCATAAGTTTCAATTTGAGATCAACTATGTCGTGTCCCTGGATCAATTCGTAAATGTGCCATCTTATTTCCCTCAAATCGTTAGGGTTTAATTACTGAAATATTTGCGGCATGTATTACAGTTTGGACCACCAACAAAAACTGATTCTATCAAGGGAATACATCTCCTATAGTTCCATACAGGTCTGCATAGCTGGCATGTGTTTTGACAGACACTAATTCCTCCCTATTATTCAATATAATTACGTTCCCTACCCCTACTCTCACATCCTGCCATGCAGTGCATGTTAAACAGGGGAAGAATGTTTACCAGATATCTCGGAGCACTTGTCTGTGCCTGCAGGAAACTAGGCCCACAAACACTCCTGTTTCACGCAGCACGCTCTGACTGATGATGGGTGGTTTGAAACTAAGAAGGTAGATAGAAATAAAGGATCTTCTCTTTTGAAAGTTTAATTGGTTTTCTTGACAACAATTTGCAGGTGTCCAAAATCAAAAAAGCTCGACAAAATGAAGGCATTATGAGGTTACTGGAATCAAATATATATATATATAAACTCCAGTTTAGTGTCCCTATGGTCTCACTCAAAGCATTCGGCAACAGAACATTTGCTCACACTGCATCTGTGCTCTGGAATTCCCTTCCAGTGGAAATTAGGCAATCTCCAACTCTGGACACTCTCAAGACAAAACTAAAGACTTATCTCTTTAGATGTGTCTATGACCCTGTGTGAGGCGCTATGAGCGACTACGTAGACAGACTTTATTATTATAATTAAACAAATACATAATATATACACCTATATATATAGATAGACATATTGTTTGATTGTTTGTCAAGAATAATCAGTTCCACAAGGAACAAATATTGCCTGTGTTAAAGTAGCATGGAAATATATTCACAGCAAGAAATGTGCCCTGGGAATAATTCCCCAAGATAAAAATACTACAAAGCAACAATTTGACTACAGGAACAGATACTCTTTGACCACAGGAACAGATACTCTTTGACCACAGGAACAGATACTCTTTGACCACAGGAACAGATACTCTTTGACTACAGGACGGATACTCTTTGACTACAGGAACAGATATTCTTTGACAACAGGAACAGATACTCTTTGACTACAGGAACAGATATTCTTTGACTACAGGAACAGATACTCTTTGACCACAGGAACAGATACTCTTTGACCACAGGAACAGATACTCTTTGACTACAGGAACAGATACTCTTTGACTACAGGACAGATACCCTTTGACTACAGGACAGATACCCTTTGACAACAGGAACAGATACTCTTTGACTACAGGACGGATACCCTTTGACAACAGGAACAGATACTCTTTGACCACAGGAACAGATACTCTTTGACTACAGGACAGATACCCTTTGACAACAGGAACAGATACTCTTTGACAACAGGAACAGATACTCTTTGACAACAGGAACAGATACTCTTTGACAACAGGAACAGATACTCTTTGACTACAGGAACAGATACTCTTTGACTACAGGACAGATACCCTTTGACAACAGGAACAGATACTCTTTGACAACAGGAACAGATACTCTTTGACTACAGGACGGATACTCTTTGACAACAGGAACAGATACTCTTTGACCACAGGAACAGATATTCTTTGACTACAGGACGGATACTCTTTGACAACAGGAACAGATACTCTTTGACAACAGGAACAGATACTCTTTGACAACAGGAACAGATACTCTTTGACAACAGGAATAAATGCTATTTGACCACAGGAACAGATACTCTTTGACCACAGGAACAGATACTCTTTGACCACAGGAACAGATACTCTTTGACTACAGGAACAGATACTCTTTGACGACAGGATCAGATACTCTTCGACAACAGGAATAAATGCTATTTGACCACAGGAACAGATACTCTTTGACCACAGGAACAGATACTCTTTGACCACAGGAACAGATACTCTTTGACAACAGGAACAGATACTCTTTGACAACAGGAACAGTTACGCTTTAGCTGTATCATGTAAACCATTCTGACTCCCATGACATATGTATAAAACATAGTGTATGCGGAATATGGTGTACAAGCAAGAATCATACAGTTGTGGATGTGACCCCAGTACTCCTAGAAGACTGCCCTGTGGGGATTCTGGGTTGGAATCGGTCCCCAGCAACCTATGCTGGTCATAACAGGCAACTTAATGAATCAGATGGTCATGCTTGGTGACTTGATTGTGTGTTATTGTACCCTGACGGCTTGGATCGTTGTTCATAATATCAATCACTGGATTATATGGTCCAGATTTGATTACAGTAAACTATGGTTCTAACAAACTCAAAGGGGCTACTAATTTTAGATCGTTGTAACCGCAGTTCGTTCAAGCATTTCGACAGTCAGATTATCGGAATTGTTTGCCCTGTACATTGTTTTATTATTGTTAATTGAGGGTGCAATTGAAGACAAGGTGTTAGTACTTAATCAAGTTAATCACTTGCCTTCAATTGTTATTGCCACTTGGAACAGCTGTCATGTGACCGTGGATGTTTTGATAGGCTGGTTGGCGATATGTGAGCAGCTCAGAGACTAACGGTTTATCATAAACATTGTCCTTGACGGGGTACACACTGGACCACAAAGTGACTTCGCTATAGCCATTATTCTGTTACAAACATGTTCGTTATATCCATCAATTCTACATGATAAAAATAAGGTAAATGGCCGAGATAAAAACATCAGTTTGTTGTATCCGGCAGTTCGTTGTAAGCGTGTTCATTATAAGTGTAGTTTACGGTATTCACAAGCCAAAGTAATAATCTTACAATATTGCTGTGTTATTTATTTAACCAACAACCCAAACATGATAGCCGTGTCTGACTTCAGGAACAGGTTGGAAGCACGGAATGTGTTTCGGTATGGTAAGGCTTAAAGCTCAGTTTAAAATCATCCATATATTAAATTAACACTAAAACCTACTGAAAAATATGCCAAAAGTTTTGCGAGTAGTCATAGACAAGTGGGACAAGGAGCTGACTTCTGACACAAGGTGCCATGTGTAGCCAGATGTCTGCTGGAAGTGGAAATGTCTACCCTCATACAGGAAGCCAGGAAACCATGTGACCCACCACTTCAGGGTTAGTCCAAGACATTTTTCAACTTTACTGTAGCATTAACCTTATTTAAACAATGACACATAAAATATTACCTACAGAACCAGCTTCATTTCAGACATATAGTTGCAGAAAATGTTTTCACTGGAATATATTGGGAAATGGATGCGAAATGCACAGGGTATTGTTGTCATACAGGAATGATTTGCCAAGATCCATACACGAGGATGAGACTTATTTTTGCATCTCTAATGGATTTTCATATCAAGTCTATAGCTTTGCTTCAAATGAAGCTGACATTAATGGAATACAAAGAAATCAAATTGTCGGTATTTGGAAAGTCAGGAATATCAGATGACAATGTTATTGTCTTGAAGAATTACTGGACAATCTTGTTCCATTGTAAGGCTTACAGATGTGATAATGCTTGGCATACACCAATACCGCAAGTCTGTCAAACAAATACACGTATATACAATACAGCCCACACAATTCTATAAAATACTCTGCTAAAAAGGAAATGCAAAAGTGATTTAGATGTATATTTTACATATCAGATGGCAATCGATTGTTCAAAATTGGCACACATCATTGTCATTGACCCAGGATCCATATGGCACACATGAAAGAGTAGATTTTCAAGGTGAAGGTCATCTGTTCTCCATATCTTGTAGAGCCAC